CCCATCCTCAGGTCCAAGCACATCACACTCACTTTCAACAATCATGTGTCTCCTGTTCCCCAGGTCATATACAAGGAACTGTGAATCCATGTAGGTGCAGAGTGATTCTGGGTCATCGCCTGGATAACAGATTCCCAATAACAGGTTCATAGCCCAATCCTCTAAAGGGTGTCTGATCCCATAGTACCCCTTGTGAGGCCTGCAGAATTGTCTACTATTATAGACATACACTTGCATCCCTGTGTTAGGATCCTCATAGTCAGTGGTGACTTCATTGTCATGACCATCATATTCGTCTTCACTCCATACACTCTCCAGGTCAGGGAGGTCATCATCCTCATCCTGGATTGTGTATCTCTGGACAGGTATGAAGTTCAATGACAGTCCAGGTTCATTCTTGGATGATTTGGACAATTGGCATTGATTCTCCACATCACCAAAATTGACATCCACACCAAAGCTAGATAACCCTGGAGGTTTGCTCGACAAGGATATGGTGTGCTGACTTGGGCAGTTCCTGGAGAAATGTCCCAACTTGTGGCAATTGAAGCAAAGTCCCTCTGTCTTGTGCTGTTCCTGTTCCTCTTTACTCAACTTTGGAGTATCATGCTTGTGTTTTTTTGGGCATTTTCCCCACCTTCCTCCCTGGTTAGAGGATTCTGCAGGATTGTTGTCCCTCTGGTAGGTTTCACCCCTGGCCTTTCATTTGCAATCACGCCTTTGTTTGTATCCAGATTTCCACCATTTGGGGCTCTCTAGTGAGGCAGTGGTGCTTTCCAGCATCCTTTGCTTACTTCTCTGTCTTCTAGATTTGCAGGTATAATCACCAGTGACTGTCTGTGCAATTTCAAGTATCTCAGCCAATGTGGTGATTTTCTTTAACAACAAGACCTCCAGATTCAACTTCTCCTTCCACAGATCTCTCCACAGTTCCTTTTGAAGGCCAGCCCAGAACTTGTGGACTTTGGTACATTTGTCTGTTTCCCCAATCATATTCCACAGCTCGTTGAGCTCATACAGGTAGTTCTTAACTGTTTTAGAATTCTGATAACAGGATTGCAGCTTTTCCCTTTGTCGCATTTGGAAATTGATAGGGAAGCAATAGTTGAAGAGTTGTGTGAAAAAGTCTGAAAGTCTCCACTTGTAAGGGTCTCCAGACACTTCTCGCACATAGAACTCATGTGCCTTTCCAGTCAAGTAGTGTGATAGAATAAAAGTGCACTTCTTAGGCTTGACTTGGCCATCTGTGATGTAGGCTGCACCTTCAGTAACAAATTGCTGGAAAGCGTGGATGTCATCAGATCCATCATACTTGTCCAGTGGGATAGGCTTGAGCATGGTCTTTCTTTGGGATTTGGAATGCTTCTTAGACTTATGGTGTCCTTTGCCTTGCCCTTTACAGCATCAGGACCTTCCTTGTTGTCTTTGCGAGCTTGTAGATGATTCACTCATGTCAGATGAGGAGTCGCTGCTCATTGAGGACAAGTCATCATCACTCAATGTATCACTACTCAAGCTAGAAGAAGGTGAGCCATCATCACTAGAGCTCTCACTGGACGAGTCTTTGGGCTCAGATGAACTGGAGTCCTCATTGCTGGAAGAGTCCAACTTTCATCTCACCTTTCTCTTATTTTTCTTTGAGCATTTCTTGTCCTTCTCTATCCATTTGAATGTGAGTCCTATGAAGCTCTTCAGGTTGATCTGTTTTATAGGTTCCATGGCCTTAGGCATCTTTTGATGTTCTCACCATTTGTGATCTGGGTGCACAGCTTTATCCACCATATCTTTTACAGGATTCAGGAGCACCTTCACAGGCTTAGTCATTTTCTTTTTAGTCTTCCTTTTGTGCTTAGACTTTTCTTTCTTAAACCTACATTCCACATTCTTGCTATCAGTGGTCAGGCCTCCATCTTTATTATGCAGGTCTGCATTCTTTGAGTGGCTTCCCTCAAGCACACCAGGTTGGTGTTCTAGTCCACTGTCCTTGGTGAGCACATTCACCATATTCCATGATGCAAGGGCTGCATGCTGTGCATCAGGATCTACTTCTGCATCATCAAAATTTAAACCTCCCCAGTTCTTAGGGTCAGGGCCTTTCCCTTTAGGATCTTTGTTTTCAGGCAATTGATCACTCTCAGATGTAGACTCATCAGTGCCACTTCTTGCCACTGACAAAGACCTCCTCTGGATTTGTGCTCTTTCATCTGGGGTCATTTGTCATTCTGCCTGTCTGATGGCATCTCTGACATCTGGTCTTACTTTGCTTTGGGCATGATGATTGTGCAATCATCTGCACACCACTTTCATCCATTCAGTGCACTCCACCTCTGTCTCGCTCACTGGGAATATGGACATGGATTTGCATTGGACATCATTGGGTAAGGCATCACTATCTCTGTGAGTTGGTACCTGAACTCTAACAGATCTAGCTTGTGAGGTCTCTGGGACAATGTCATCACTGGGATACACTGGCAAACTAGGGCTCGAACCAGGAGTGTCTACAGCCACACCATGGTACACCAGACTGGGGCTCCTAGAGCCATTTTTAACCACATTGCTGTAGCTCTGGACACTACCCTCAATGGGCTTACCAACTGGGGTGGAATACTGACTTCCTAATGGAGTCAGCTTCGGAAGCAGGGACCTATTGATGACTTCAGCGCCAGGCTGAGTTGTTGGGCTAGGAGGTAAGGATGATGCTCAAGCTTTTGTTGCTCAGTGAATGGACACTTGGGTGTTAACCATCTTTTTATTAAGTATTTGGATACGTACCCTTTTGTCTCTGCAGGGGATCAGTTCTGCAGATGGTGGAGAAGGTATTGGTGGGGATATTGTTTAGGGTTTGGGGTTAGACTGTATAGGCTGGAAAAAAATATGTAGTGGCGACAGTGAAGTGAGGCACTTGTGATGACACTACATGAGGAGCTTTCCTGTGGTTACCTCGAAGTTCCGAGACGCCAAGGTCTGTATTTCCAGTATGTAGGAAAATTCTCCCTGTACATTAAGATACATGGCCCTTTTTATAGTAGAGAGAACAGGCATGCAATATCAGTAAGAATGGGTGTGAATAAGAACTAGATCAATCACAAATGAGATATGTAGAAGAAATGCCAAAAGAATATTGAACAAGTGACATGTGGCTGACAGCCTCAGTCCAAACCTTACAACCTGCTACTTCATGTTGTAACCTTTCTTTGAACAACTGTGCAGATCCATCAGCAATGCCACTTTCCGATTCTATGACATGAATGTATTGACAGAAGGCAGATCTAACTTGGTCTAAAGGAGGTTTATAGTTCGATGAGAGTCCTAATTTGAATCTGAGTGTGACACTTGCAAATGCAATGTCGGGAATCACAGAACCATCATGGCTGAGAACTGGACAGAAGCCTTGAAATCCGGATATGAGGAGAGTAAGACATTGACCAGGTTGCAAGAAATGTCTGTCCCAGGTGAATAATGCATGTGGAGGGATGCAGGCAGTTAGGTCGATTACAGGTAATGATACAGACAGGTAGAATTCACTGCCACCTGTACAGATAATACTGAGATGATAGCCTGCATCCCTTGCTTCAGTGAAGTCTCAGATTTCGACATCTAAAGATTGTGTACCGCTCACTGCTCTGTTGTCAACTCCTGTCTCCACAGTGTCTCCGAGTCCCCATGCTCATTCACAAGTACACAGCATGGCAGTGCATTGGCATTGAGCTTCGATGGGCTAAGCCTACAATCCTACATAATTACATCATTGCCACCATGATTTGAATCAGACTTTGTTTTTGGGAGGATCATGGTTGCCAAAAAATGCATGACAAATTTTGGGGTGCAGTGACTGTGTAAACAAGGTGATGATATAATTGCTGGGTGACTCATGTGACTTCAGTAGAGCCTCAAAGTTATTCTTTCTGGGTTCCAATCCAAGGTGAATGAGAAAATTTGCCCAAGTGGCAGGCCTTGGGGTCATCATCAGAGTGAAATGGGAACAGCAAGTTAATAAAACCTGGGATTGGAGGAAACACTAAAAGTGCATTTATGTCATGATTGACCCCAGTCTGGACTTGGCCTCATATCAACTCAACCTGGTCTCAGGCTTGTCAAGGTCTGTCCCTCAGATGGTTTAGAGCATGTTGTAAGGAAAACCCAAGTAGCTGTGTAGCACAGACTAGCTGGTTTAAATAACAACAATTAAGTGAAGGGAACAAATTGCTTGTCCCAAGGGATTCTGGACTGTTGAAACTAGAAGGCAGGACTCAGCACTGTGCAGTGGTAGTGTTTCATAGCATCCATGGCATGTTCCATGTTGTAGTATTGGCTATATGAGCAGTATATGTAGTCCATAAGCAGCAATTTGTGAGGCAGGCATAGTTGATGAAGTGAAAAGAAACTCATAGTGACCTTCCAAGTGCAAAAAGGTATCATTCTGTACCTAAGTAAAACAAAGGACAGTAACAGTGCATACATACCAGAAAGGCTGGAACAGGAGCCAAGGGTATACAAGTGATGCTGAAAGAGACTGTGGGGTAAATGAAAGAGTCCAAGGAAAGGGAAAACAACTGGAACACAGAAGCCATGGGTATAGCAGTGCACAGAAGGGAGTGAGTTCATGGGAGCATAGTGGTTGGTGCAGGAATGTAGCATGTGGATAGTAATGGCAGCAAGCAGTTACAGCACATAATAGTAGTTGTGGAAAGGTTGATTACAGGGTCTTATGCATCTGTGGAATGTGGATTCCTCACACCTGTGGGGGACTCAGATGCTGACTATCCCTGGTCAGCCATGAGGTGCAGAGGGCATAAATAATAATGCCACATGGTAGTGATGGAAGCATGGTGCTGAGGAATTAGAGAACACTGTTGAATGACATGTAGACAAGTCTGGACAGATGACACAAGTGCCTCATGGCTACTGCATATATATTTGCTAGTGCATGGCTCAAACCTTCATATTGTTTTTGATTCTTCCCCTCCATCCCTTTCACCACTTTTATCTTTACTCTTACCATGTCTGCCAATCACCTCCCCCATCTCTCACAACTTGTGCACCCTGTTACCCTGGACCTGGCTGAAGTTGAGAAGGCCACTATCAAGGAACAACTAATGGTTGTGTTGGAAGCCCTTGTTGCTGAGGCAAGTGTGCCTGATGATAAGAGGGAGCTGAGGGGGGAGAAGCTGATGTGGTTGCAGTGGTGGGAGGAGAAGATGGAAGGTACCATCTTTATTGATGTCTTAGCTGCACAGGACTGATTGTCACTGTCCAGGCAGCACTTGTGCCAATCATTGAGCTGGGGAAAGAGCTCAGCATAGTTATGAGGGCTGATGCTGTGGATGCACCAGTACTGACCAAAGCTGATGACATGTACAAGCAATGGACTACAGAAGAGGCCAATGCACCCATGAAAGCTGAACAGGACATCCAGATGGGGGAGGAGCCCATGACAGAGCCTGGCTCAACAGTGGTGGTATGGATGTTGCACATGGAGCATGCAAGGTTTGTCATGATTTTCATAGTAGGTTGCTCTGTTAACACCTGTTTTGCACAGTGATCTCAACAAACCTTGTTGGATAGCAAGGAGATTCAAATCTCTCCTGCAATGATTACACACAATGATCCATGCATGCAGAGCACTGTGAAGAAGATTCCCTGCAAAGGAATGGTCAGGAAGACTTGTGATGCATGCATGCAGATTAAACAGGGTGTCACATGCATGACTCTCAGACTCAAACCTGATCTGGACTGGACCCATAGCCCCTAACTCCAGTCAAGTATGGCCCTACTCCAGCCCAGCTAACTCAACTCCAGTCCTAAATAACTCAGCTCCAGCACAGATATCTCATGTCTGATGCTTCACTCCTATCTCCAGTCCACTCTGGCCTCTCAGCCTTGTGCTGCTCCACTCTGGTCCTCCTAGGTCCATGTCCAGTGTACAGTTGTGGACAAGAAAACTTGACAAGTTTGGTCTAGCATCACACAGAGTTTTGGGGGCAAACTAACTCCAGATATGGATTCAGCAAGGTAAAATATGTCCAAATACACAGCTCTGAAGTTTCTCCCATAAGGTTTTTGGTGTGTCAATTTTTTTTGGTAGATAAATAACCTTTTCAGGGGAGATAGTGGCCAATTTGGTATATTTTACATCAATTATCAAGCACAGCTTCAATTGACATCATTGCATGCTGTGAAACTTGTCAGTGTTGTTTCTGTTTGTGCACTGCTGTCAAGTTTGAGGTGTCCAGGTCGAGACTGGACCAGAAACTGAAGTGGGCATGAGGCTGAAGGGTTGGGAACAGGTGGGGAGCAGGGGAACAAAGGTGGACTGGTTGGACTTAGTGACTGGGAAGGCAGTGCTATTCCCTTGCATGGGTTTCAGTCTGAGGCTGAGGCCAAGGTGGGGTTATCAGGGTAACTTAGTTGATTTCAGACTAAGGGGATACAGGCCAAGTATCTACAGGTTTATATACTGGAAGTAACTATAGTACAGAGACCAGTAATGCTGGTCTTGCAAAGATTGCTAAGGTGATTGGTAAGACTAGTATTAGTAATGTATGACTAAGGTGACAGAGACCGGGACAGGGCAGACTGGGGACAAGACCAGGCAGAGTTCAACCAAAGTGACACACACTGCAAAGCAGTGTTAACCACACTAGAATAACTGGGGTAAGTGGTTGGCAAGGCTGAGGCCAGACTAAATGAATGTGAGGCTGAGTCCAGCTGGGGTCGAGACATGACTATGACAGTATCCCCCTCTTAGGGGTCAAACCCATGAGACCCCTGTGAGAGTGGTAGGCTGAGTTTGAAAAAACTGATACTTGTGGCCCACTAAGCCCCTTGCATCTCTCTTCTGCATTCCATCTCATTATGTCCGACTCAAGACCAATTGTCACTGCTGACAACAACAATGAAGGCTGAGTTGTCATCAACTGGGCCCAAGTCCCTGACAATGACATTAGATATGACACCAATGATGAAGAGGAGGTGATGAGGGTGAAGGCAAAGGAGAGAAAGCAATGGAAGGCAGCTGAGCAAGCCTGGCAGGAAGAACAGGCTCAGCTTGAGGCTGAGAGAGTGGAGAGAGAGAAGGCCAAGGCAGAGAGGGCAGAGAGGGAGAGGGCCAAGGCCAAGAAGGCAGTGCAGGAGGCAGAAGAGGAAAGGGTGTGCAAGGAGGAAGAGAGGCAAGAGGCCAAGCATAAACACAAGGCTGAGGCCATGAAGGGTGATGAAGCCAGGGCCAGTGGTAGTGAGGCTGGCAAGGTTGTTGATGCACATTAATTATATTTCTTACACCAGTAATATCTTACATAAGCACAGTCATTTCAGCACATTGTTTTTCATTCATGCACCTCAGTCTTCTCCCAATAGAAGCCTGAGGTGAGGTTCCTTTATTATGAGTTACAGCTATCTTACTGAAGCTATTTAGTATCTTCTCTTGTTAGTCTGTCACTACTCAGAAACACCCCTTCAGAAGAGGTCAAAAAGGTGGTTATGGACCCCAGGTGAGTACCTTTCCAACCTTGTGTGTATCCCTCTTAACAATGCTTTTAGTTGTACCCACTGTGCCTGGGCCAAAACTGTCTGTGAATTTGTCATAGATGGTAACAAGAAGTGCATTGCCTGTGTGCAATGCAACCAGTCAAAAGGCAAGTGTTGTTGGCCTGAGGATGGGAAAGACACTGAGGCCAGTCCCAAGGTGACAAGGGGAAGAAGAGGAAGGTCAATGAGGAGAATGCTGAGGCTGGGCCCAGCAAACAAAAGTGGGCAAGGACAGGTGCAAGGCCAGTCAAGGTCTTGGACCTTGATGAACCTGAGGCTGGTGGGAGTAGGTTGTGGGAGACTGCCACTGAGCACTACTCAGGCTTAGAAGAAAAGCTTGAGTGCTTGATTGATACAGCAGGGCTGATTGCCAACAACCTGGCCAGCCTATTCAAACTTCGTGAGACTGCAGTTGAAAGCTTGGGCTGCATTGCCAACATGCTCTAGTCACTACTTGATGAGTCTTATGGCTTTGGCATGGCAGTCTCCCCCTTGGACTTGGGCTCATCTGAGCTCAACTCCAATGAGTTGTGCAAGGAGGCCCACTGGTTGAAGAACCATGGTGAAGACAAGGAAGGAGGAGGCTGAAGGGGAGGATGAAGGTATGGCTGAGTAGTGTTTATAGTGTAGTGCCTTTGTTATCCTTCTCTGTGAATGTGATGTGTCCAGTGTCTGGTGTCTGGTGTTATACAGTAAAATAAGAGAAACAAGAAGGGGAAAACAAGGTAAGTAAGAGATCAGGAGAAACTAGGCACTGATAGAAAACAGAAGAAGAAGCTGAGGCTGGTTGAAGCTGGTCCTCATTGTAAAGGGCTGGGTTTAGTGGGGTAGCAGAAGTGGAACTCATGTACATGTTCAGAGGCATTGTCAAGCTCAGTAGCAAGTACCCAAGTGGTTTCTTCATTGGTCCCTTCATAACTGGTCCACCAGACCAGGTACTGAAGCCAACACTGGTGATGCCAGTCAACCTTGGAGTTGAGGATTTCAGCCACCTTGAACTCTAGTTCACTGTCAACTTTGACTGGTGGGGGTGGTGGCTGAGTCTGGTTCAGGATAGTGTTAGGGATGGCCAGCTCAAGTTGGGAGACATGGAAGACCAGATGGACTGCACACATTGAGTCCAGCAGGTGCAGTGTGAACGAATGGGTACCAGCCTGAGCTATGACCAGATATGGTCCAAGGTTCTTCTCTGAGAGCTTCTTGGAAGGCCAGGTTGACTGGAAGTACTCGGCTTTGACATATACTTGGTCACCAACCTTGAAGTCTGGGGCCAACATGCATTTGGCATTGGCCAGGCCTTGGTAATGTTGTTGTGAAAGGGTCATCTTCTCACATAGGTACTGGTGCAGTGAGTCCAGGTCTACTGCATAATCACAAGCCCAAGTGGAGGTAAGATTGTGCTCCAGGTACACCAAGATATTAGAATGGTATCCCTTATTAGCAAAGAAAGGAGAGACACTGGTAGTGGCACTAGGGGCATTATTGTATGCAAACTTGGCCAGGGGTAGTAGGTTGGCCCAGTTGTCCTGCTGGTAGTTGCAGTACACTCAGAGATACTGTTTGAGAGTCTGGTTGGTCCTCTCAGTCTGGCCATCACCTTTTGGGTGATAGCCCAAGGTGAAGTGTAAGCACATGTCCAGGGCCTTACTGAGTGACCAGAAAAGTGCAAGACAAACTCCAAACCTTGGTCTGAGGTTACATGGGCCAGCACTCCATGCTTAGAAAAGACATGGAGTAGGAAGATTTTGGTGAGTTCTGGGGCTGTGATAGTGTCATGAGTGGGGATGAAGATGGCCTGCTTAGAGAGCTGGTCAACTACTACAAGGATGGCCATGAAGCCAGATGAGGCTGGGAGCTGCTCAATGAAATCCATAGATATGGAATTCCATGGTTTTTCTGGCACCAGAAGTTGTTTGAGGAGGCTGTAAGGCTGGTGGCAGGGAACCTTAGCCCAAGCACAGGCCATGCAGGACTGGACATAGTCTTTGACAAATGTGCTGAGGCTGGGCCAGGTATACTCACACTGTATGAATTCTAGGGTTCAGTTTTGGCCAAAGTGGCCAGACAGGGGGTGGTCATGCTTAAGCCACAAGACCCTAAGGTGGAGATCATTTGAGTCTGGCATGTAGATCCTTCCATCAAGATGAAGGAAGCTGGTGTCATCTACAGACCACCAGGGATCAGACATGTCAGACAAGTGGACCTGTGAGACCAGGTCATCTGGCAGTGCAGTCAGGATGTCATTATGGAGTTTCTCTATATCCATTAGTGTGACTGCTCATAAGACTGGGTACTCAAGGTAGGTTGTGTGAAGGGAGACCACTAGTTGTTCCTAGGTGAAGACCAGTCTCAGGTTTTGTGGGTTCACTCAGGCATAGCCACTATCCCCCTCTTTGGGGTAGACATCCCATTGTCTAGTTAGGGCATTGGGCTTAGCCCTGAGCTTACTGGGCCTGAATCTAATGATCATATTGAACTGGGACAGGAATTCTGACCAGTGAGCTTGACAGCAAGTGAGTACCTTAGAGGTAGAAAAGTACTCTAGGTTCTTGTGGTCAGTGACAATGTTGACCAGTGAGGCTGAGCCCTCAAGGTAGTGGCACCAGGTCCAGAATGCTTTGAAAATAGCAAGCAATTCCTTATCATGGGTATCATAATTCAACTCCAGGGCAGTCAGAGTCCAGGAGTAGAAGGTGACCCAATGTATCTGGCTGTTGCTGCAGGTGATAGATAGAATGCTGGTGATGGCATAGTCTGATGCATCAGTCTCCACAGTAATGGGGACCCTGGGGATGAAGTGAGTTAAGACTGGCATGGTCATGAAGGTGGCCTTGAGGTTGTTGAATGACTGGCAGCACTCCTTGGAGAAGTTCCAAGGGGCACCTTTGCGAGTAAGCTGGGTTAATGGTATGATGATGTCCAAGTAGTTAAAGATAAACTGGCAATAGAAATTTGCAAAGCTGAGGAAAGATTGTATGTCCTTGACCTTGCAAGGCTTGGGCCAATCACAGATGGTCTGGACTTTTTCCTTTGACATTGTGAGGCCAGCAGGGGAGAGGTGGAAACTGAGGTATTTGACTAAGTCCAAGTGGAACTCACATTTCTCTGGCTTTGCATAAAGGTTGTGAAGCCAAAGCTGGCAGAGTACTTCTTGGACATGCTGCTTGTGGGACTCCTTATCTCTGGAGTAGATCAAAATGTCATCAAGGTAGACAACCATGCATATGTCCAGCATATCCACAAAGATAGTGTTGATGAAGTGCTGGAAAGTGGCTGGGGCATTGGTGAGGCCAAAGGGCATCACTAACCACTCATAGGACCCATAACTGAGTCTGGAAGGTGGTCTTCCATTCATCACCTGGGGCAATCTGGATGAGATGGTAGGCATGCTGGAGATCAATCTTGGTATAGGTTTTGGCTCAGCTTGGTGAGTCCAAGAGATCAGAGATGAGTGGGAGTGGGTAGCAGTCTTTCTTGGTGATTTTGTTCAGGCTGCAGAAGTCTACACAATGCTGGAGGGAGCTGTCCTTCTTCTTGATGAAAAGGACTGGTGCAGCATACAGGGAGGAAGTTGGCCAAATGAATCCAGTAGTGAGGTTTTCATTGATGAAGGTCCAGAGAGCTTGCAGCTTGACCAGGGACAGTGAGTAGATGGTGCTGAGAGGCAGGGTTGTTCCTTCTTCAAGCTCTATCTTCAGGTCATACTCCCAGTGTGGTAGGAGTGTTGAGGCCTTGGCCTTGCTGAATACATCAGCAAAGTTGTGATACTCCTCCAGGACATTGGGTAAGGCCAGAGGAGGGGAGAGTGAGTCAGGGAGTTGGAGACCAGTAGAGATGGCACAGGGCCAGGTTGGTCACTAGGACCAGGGTCAGGAAGACCAGTGGAAACCAGACTTACAGGGGGTGTCAACAGGGTTGGCATTCCTTGTGTATGAGTCTGGAAAGTAATACTGCTCAATACCCAGTCAATCAACAGATTGTATTGGGTGAGCCAGTTATGCCCAAGAACTACTTTACACTTGGAATCCAACAGGGCAAGATACAGGGTTACTGGGGTGACATTGCCAGACATGAAGTGAATATTGACATCTACTGCTTGGGTTATGGTAAAGGTGGATGTTCCATCAAAGAGCTGGAGTCAGATTAGTGAGACCAAGTATGGGGTAAAAGAGTGTTGATTAGCAAATTGATTTTCTATAAAACAGTGCATGGAACCAGAGTCCACTAAGGTACAAAGCCAAGGTAATCCTGTGTTTTCTATAGTGATGTACAGAGTTAATGAATTCAGGCTGGAGAGAGTGGATGCATTGAGTTGAGCCTCCAAGTTTGCACAACTGGAGTCAACACAGCTCCCAGTTTGTGCAGAGTCCCAGGAGCTGCTACCTATTTCTTTGTCTCAGGGTAGAACCTGAGCCTGAGGCTGGTGCAGCCTTGGTGGTGGCCACAGTGCAAGCCTTGGCCTTTCTGGCTTTCTTGGGGCATTTGTCAGCAAAGTGACTGGACCCTCCACAGAACATGCAGAGGTTCCTGTCCATGTGATGCTTGCATTCCTCAGGGGTGAGCTTTCCATCCTTGCTGAGTTTGCTAGACTTGGGCTTGGACAAATTGCTGTTATTGTTGTTGCCTGTCTTTGATGAAGCTGGCTTGGACTGGGTAGAACCAGTATTGTTGTTACTGCCATTCTTGGCTTTCTCCTGACTGGTCTTGGGCTGATTGTTTTTACTGGAGCCTCTGGACTTATTGTTGTTGGAGGTGGACAAACCTTGATGCATACTTGCTTGTTGTATTTTTTCCTTGTGCTCCCAATAGTGCACATCTATTTCCTGGGTGAGGTGGCAGAGCTCATGAAGAGTCCAGGGCTTGCCAACCTGACAAACTTCATCTTTGATCCAGTCTGGGAGCCCAGAGAAGAAGTGATGGTGCAGCACACCATCTCTGTAGCCCTCAACTTGCAAAGCAAGCCAGTTGAAGTCCACTACATATTTGTTAATGCACTGACTATCTTTCATGTGTAGGTGGTCAAGTTGGCTTTCAGTGTCAGCAACTGGGTCATGAGGGCTGAAGGTGGTTTGTAGTTCTAGGACAAACTCCCTCCAGGGGTCCATCCAGAGGGGCCAGTCATTGGGGTCCTCAACCCTGAGCAAGTACAGCTTGAACCACTCTAGGGCCATGCCCTTAAGGTAGGACTGCATGAAGATGACCTTTGCATGGTCAGTCCTGAAAGCCCAAGGCTGGTCTTGGAAATTCAGCTCACACTGAATAAAAAAGGCACAAAGCTTCTTAGGGTTGGTACCATTGAAGGTATCAGGCTCACACAACTTGGTCTTGCTTGAGGACTCAGGACTAGTGTGGGTGTTGTGGGCCAGTAGCTTGATGGGCTTTGTGAGACTGTCAAAGACTGCAACCATGGGTTTGGTGTCTGGGTCTGGGAAGTCCAGTTCATCCTCCAGATCATTCTCATCTGGATTATCATCACCAGGCCAATCATCACTGGGACTGTTACTGGGGTCATCATCATCAGGATTGTTGTTATCATCATCACCCAGCCCATCATCACCAGGGTTATCCTTGGGGATGGGAGCAGTGGGACAACATGTGGTGGGAGTATTGGATGTTTGGGCTGAAAAGCCCCTGAAAGGACTAATGGGGTCTGGAGAGTGCCTAGTGGTGCCCAAGGCAGCTAGTGCTGTCTCACAGCAGGTTCCACTGGCTGAGGCAGAGTCAGGGTTGGTGGCAGAGCAGCCACAGGGAGGTTGGAAACAAGTCTTTGTTGCCATGGTGTGTTAGACCCACACAAGTAGCAAGTCTGAAATACTGTCAAGTTTGAGATGTCCAGGTTGAGACCAGACTGGAGACCAAAGGGTCAGGAACAGGTGGGGAGCAGGGGAACAAAGGTGGACTGGTTGGACTTAGCGACTGGGAAGGCAGCACTATTCCCTTGCAGGGGTTTCAGTCTGAGTCCAAGGCCAAGGCAGGGTTATCAGGGTAACTTAGTCAATTTCAGACTGAGGGGATACAGGCTGAGTATCTATGGGTTTATATACTGGAAGTAACTATAGTATGGAGACTGGTAATGCCAGTCTCACAAAGATTGCTGAGGTGATTGGTAAGACTAGTATTAGTAATGTATGACTAAGGTGATGGAGATTGGGACAGGGCAGACTGGGGACAAGACTGGGCAAAGTTCAACTGAAGTGACATGCACTGCAAAGCAGTGTTAACTGTGCTAGACTAACTGGGGTAAGTGGTTGGTGAGGCCAAGGCCAGACTAAATGAATGTGAGGCTGAGTCCAGCCAGGGTTGAGACATGACTATGACAACTGCCCACTCTGCTGCATGTCCTGAGAGGCCCAACTGATAGGCACTCATGAACCAATAAGAGCAATTGATAAACCAGCAGATCACCTTTAGGGGGCATGAATCAAGAACAGCCAGTACAGCTTCCTTTGCTGCAGCAAAGTTGACTTTTGTTGCTTGCCAGTAGTGGTATTTGCACCAGCCCCAATACTGGTGCCAGTGAACTTCAATGAGCATGATCCACAAACTGCAGAACAAATTACACACCATTTCTATAGGATTAAGTTCACAGTGGAATTTGGGAAGCAATATGCATTCATGGCCAGAATCTTTGGTCAGCTGTTCAAGCATTGAAATTTGATTGCAGAAGTCATCTTGTTGACTTAGGAGCCAAGCCATGCAGCATCCAGTGGTTTCAAATTGGCAGACAGAGGCACATTTTGCCTGTAAGCCATGCATGTCAAAACCCTGCTCCTCCAAGACAGACATGCCCATGCTTTGGGGAGTCAGGATTTGACTGTGGTATGATTGTGTCACACTGTTTGCATTGCTTGCCACTGTCACCTTTTCTCATGTCAAATGCCCACAACACATCAGGAGGCAATGATGTGTGTGCTGATGAGTTATTGAAGAGAAAGAGTGCTTGACACTCCTGCCCATTCATCTTCTCATGTATTGTTATTGCTGATTTGATTTGTTCCCTCAAGTTTTTGTGTGTCCACCAACCATCTCCATTCACCCCAGGATAGATTATTCTCCTTGCATCTTCAACATTGCCACTTTTGTCTTGCAGAACCAGCTGCCCATCCTCAGAGATATGATGCCCTTGACCTTCCTTTCACAATATCTGCTCATTTGGGTGAAGCCTGGCATCATGTGGCATGCCACAAGTAAGTTTTTAGCATCTAATAGCTAACAAAGACTTACCATGCAGAATGTGCATTGTTATTTGCATGGAAGCAGCACTTTTCATGAAAATATGCCTTAACCTTTCACTTGCCTGCTGTCAGGTTAGGTTCAACCTGGTGAAGGTCTGGCCCTTCAAACTGGACCATATGCTTCTTGAACTTTTTCATTGCAGGCAAGAAAACTTCCATTCAATACTTGAAAACATTCTCACATTTGTGACCATCCATGTAGACAGGATTGTGCATCTCAAACCAAGTCTGATGAGCCATTGATGGGCAGTCCACTCACTAATGGGATGCTTGGGCATGATCCCAAGCTCAGGGAGGATAACTGTATGCATGGCCTGCTGCAGGGTGCATGGTGTGACCTTCCCAGTAGGTAGATTGGAGAGTCATGACCAACAGTGGCTCTGAATGGCTTTGTCATTGAGCAACAACCATGTATTCTAAGCACCACCTTGTTTCTCCTGTGGCAATTGTTCAAACACCTTGTAATAGCATGCAAGTATATGGATATGATGAGCAAAGTATGTGGCATCTCCATCCCCCCACTGTTTGGCAATTTGGAGGCTTGCTTCTGTTTGTGAGACTCCCCACAGTCAAAGAGTGGCAAAATTCAATAAGATGAGTAGCTGATTGATTTAATTCAATGACTGTGCTCTTCCCTTTCTCTTCAGATCAGCTCAGATCAGGTTATGCAGATCCACCCAGTCCCTTATCCCATCACTGCCACCATTTGTTGTCATCTTAAGTTCTTCCTCCCAGGCCTCCACATCTGATAAGCATTCAAACTCATGTTCAACTACTCCTTCTGGCTCAGCAGCAACAGGTGCCATGTCCACACAGGCATAGTCCTCATGATCTGTGCTCCAAGAACTTGACCCTGCAGAAAGAATTGAAGCACTGCACACTCTTGGGATGGTAACCCTCACTGGTGACTGTGGCTGTACCTCCCCTGTCACACATGTGGATTCACTTTTGGCTTTCATTGCAGACTGTGGGCAAAATATCAATGTCACTGTGAACTTAGAGTCAAAAACTGAAACCCAACACACAACCAGAATCATGTCATTAGCAAAGCCAAATGATCCAGGCAAGTCTGGCTCCTCCACTGTTTCTTGTATTGCTTCGTCTGGGCCTTTCTTATATTTGTTCAGCCATGCTGCTGGTGCTAACAAAGTGGTAATCCCAAGCAGTGGATTCTTTGGACATGCACTTACCTTTGCACTCTTGCAACTGTTATGGAATCCAATCACAGTCCTTGTTGTCCTGCTCAGCCATCTCAGCCATCTCAGCCAATCTCCTGCAGAACTCCTCATCATCCATACCCTCCCCTGTATCTTCCTCACTGATGTCTGACTCATCCCCATCAAACTCACTTCCATACCCTTGTGGTTTCATCCCATAGACTTCCATCTGCCAGTGGCTGGTTTCAGAGTCATCACTGACATCTTCTGCATTAGGTAAGTCAGCTGGCTGGTGATTAATGTTCAAGGGCTGCTGCTGGTGTTGATTGCAGAGACCCAATACAATCTTTGACTTTTCTTGGATGGCCTCCAGCCATGGTCACAGAAACTGTTCAAACCTCTGGTGTGCCACTTTTTTTCATCACAGCCACTGGTATTCTGACCTCTGAGCCACTAGAAACACAACCAGCTTGACAAATACAGTCTATTCCACAATTTTTTTGTATTTTTAGCCTCATTTTTAAGGGTGGTGCGAAATTTTTGACATGATCAAGGGCCAGCTGTCAGTTTTGAAAAATTGGCTTGTGCAGATGTCAAGATTGGAATGTACATTATCTGTCTAATGTTTGTTGAAGCCAGAAAGATAACCATGAAAACTAGTCAAGTTTGCTTGTCTGCAACTGTAGGAGAGGGGCCCTACCAACAGGTTTTCAGTTTTTTTTTTTTGTTTGTTTACTAGCTAACTATACTTTACAGGAGGTACATGGTTATTCAGGGTGTATATACAGTGGGGGAGCTTGAGCTGGGGTTGTTGTGAATGGTTTAAGGCAGTTGAGCAAGAGTCAAAGCACTCTAGGGAAAGGGAACTGTTTTTTCTGGATTAGGTTCAAACAAGCTAAGTATGCAGAGTCTTAATCCTAGTTGCTGTCTACAATCAGAATTTCGGAATTTTCAGAATTATTTTTTGAGCAAAAAATGACAGGTGAGTGACATTCATGAAGACCCCATGAGTCAAGACACAAGTCTGAAGGCAAATTAATAGTCAAGGTTTTGTGAAGAAGCCATGAAAATGCACTGAAATGGCTCAAGGAAATGCCATCTAGGCATTCAACTAATGCACCATGGTTCTTGGGGCATGCATCTGACCTTTTTAGGTATCTTGAAATGGTCCAAAATCTTTGTGAACCTGCAGAATGCTTCAACAATCAAGAATGGGCCAAATGGGCTTGCTGGTATGTAGGTGGCGAAAGTTCTGATGCTTGGCATGAGTTTGTAGAGGATCACCTGAGCTGGCCTGAGTTTATGGTGGCTGTCATGCACTTGTATCCTGGGTCTAGAGAATGGGATCAGCAGCATTCAAGGGATGACCTCTATGATCTCATTGACAGTCAAGAGCATGAAGAGCAATTCATAAACAGGTGGAACTAATAGATTACAGACTACATTTTCTTGACTTAGTGACATATTTATGGGTGTCAAGACATCCATCAGCAACTTGACAAAATTTCTGAAGTTCTGATTTCATTTCTAAAGCTTTGGTTTTCACTTCTGACACTCTGGTGTTCTGACAAACCTGATATCTGAAATTCTAAAGCTCTGATTTTATTTCAATCTGAAAAAATCTAAGAATTTCTGGGAATTTCTGATATCAGATTTTCTCAGGTCATAAGAATATCAGTGTCACATATGTGACTCTCAGACTCAAGCCCAGTCCAGTCCAGACCCCCTAGCCCCTATCTCTGGTCAAGCTCCAGCCTAGAAAACTCAACTCCAGCCCTAAGTAGCCCAACTCTGGTCTAGATAACTCAAGTCCGAGATTTTACCCCTATCTCCAGTCCACTCTGGTCTCTCAGCCTTGCACTGCTCCACCCCAGTCCTCCCAGGTCCATGTCCAGGTCACCTGGACATAACTCTGGTCTTTTACCCTTTGTTTGTGCTATATTTAGTCTAGTCCTTTTGTCTGATATTTGCTTACTGTACAAAACCTGTGTCCAGTTCCAGTTATGCCAGTTGCCCAGACTTTGACCATTAGTCTTGGCACAGCCTCTGTGGCTGTCCTCTTTTGCTAATCATCTTGCTAATAGCTTACCAACAAGTCTGGCTCTATGTTCATATCTGTACATACATATGTATTAGGGTGGTAGCCCTTATTAGCAAAGAATGGTGAAACACCAGTAGTTGCACTAGGGGCATTGTTATAAGTGAACTTGGCCAGAGGTAGTAAGTCAGCCCAGTTGTCCTGTTGGTAGTTGCAATAGACTTGGAGATACTGTTCCAGTGTCTGGTTAGTCCACTCAGTTTGGCCATTGCCTTTGGGGTGGTAGCCTGAGGTGAAGTGTAGGCACATATCTAAGGCCTTCCTGAGTGACTGGAAGAAGTGCAAGATGAACTCCAAGCCTTGGTCTGAGGTTACATGGGCTGGCACTCCATGCTTGGAGAAGACATGGAGTAGGAATAGTTTGGCAAGTTCTGGGGCTGTGATAGTGGAGTACCAGGTCTTACAAGCAGTCACACTAATGGATATAGAAAAACTCCATAATGATATCCTAACTGCACTGCTGGACAACCTGGTCTCACAAATCTGTTTGTCTGATATGTCTGATCCCTGGTGGTCTGTAGATGACACTGGCTTCCTCTTTCTCAATGGAAGAATCTACATGCCAGGCTCAAATGATCTCTGCCTTAGGGTCTTGTGGCTTAAGCATGACCATCCCCTGTCTGGCCACTTTGGCCAAAACCACACCTTAGAACTCATACAGCATGAGTATACCTAGCCTGGCCTCAGGACTTTCATCAAGGACTATGTCTGGTCTTTCATGGCCTGCACTTGGGCTAAGGTTCCCTGCCACCAGCCTTACAGCCTCCTCAAACAACTCCCAGTGCCAGAGAAGCCATGGAACTCCATATCCATGGACTTCATTGAGCAGCTTCCAGCCTCCTCCAGCTTCATGGCCATCCTCATTGTAGTTGACCAGCTTTCCAAGCAGGCCATCTTCATCCCCACCCATGACACTATCACAGCCCCAGAACTTGCCAAACTATTCCTACTCCATGTCTTCTCCAAGCATGGAGTGCCAGCCCATGTAACCTCAGACCAAGGCTTGGAGTTCATCTTGCACTTCTTCCAGTCACTCAGGAAGGCCTTATATATGTGCCTTCACTTCACCTCAGGCTACCACCCCAAAGGCAATGGCCAAACTGAGTGGACTAACCAGACACTGGAACAGTATCTCCAAGTCTATTGCAACTACCAACAGGACAACTGGGCTGACTTACTACCTCTGGCCAAGTTCACTTATAACAATGCCCCTAGTGCAACTACTGGTGTTTCACCATTCTTTGCTAATAAGGGCTACCACCCTAATACAGTGGCTCAAAAAACTGTCCACATGTTTGCATGTTTTACACTAGTTATGACTCAACACAATAACCCCTGACCCTAGCCCTAAATCTAGAGGTATGCTTGGTGTCATTATCTTGTTGAAAGATAATGTCATCTTCTGCAATTCCAGATTCCTCCATGCTTTGAAGCAACCCTTCCTGCAAAATGGCCACATACTGTTCAGCATCCATCCTTCCCTCAACCTCACTCAAGACCCCAACACCATTCTCCACCCTATACATCCCCAAACCATGAGTGAACCTCCTCCCAACTTGACTGTACCTTTGACCTCTCTGGAAATAAGCCCTTCACCCTTCCTTTTCCACACATACTCTTGTCCATCTGACCCAATCCTGTTGATTTTGGTTCATCTGACCATATAACTCTCTTCCAGTCCTCCACAGTCCAATTCTGATACTTAAGAGCAAAGGCTAACCTCTTCTTCATGTGACCAGTAGAAAGCAATGGCTTTTTCTTCTTCACCACAGCCTTCAATGAGGCTTCTTTGAGGGTATTTCTCACTGTCTGAGAAGAAACAGGACTATCAATATTGCAATAGAGTTGATGAAGTGAGTGGCTTGAACAGCAATTTTGGCCTTGCCAGTAAGGACTTGCTGAACAATAGCTCTCTTGTTGGTAGAGGAAAGCTTGGAAGGGTGACCACCATGAAGCCTAGACCTCTCTGGTTGGATTTCCTGAAGAACCTGGGATACTGTAGACTTCCCTAGACCAGTCTGTGAGGCAATCTTCCTAGTGGACAGGCCAAGAGAGGCAAGAGAGATGATGTTTTGTCTTGGAGAGGTGGAAATGGACTTCATGGTGATGAGGAGAAAATGAGCAGAGGGTGGTGGGGTTTATATATGTTGGATCATACTCATTACATAAAGGTAACATAATAGAACCCTTGATGGATGTATGTAACAATATAACTGCATGTCAGGGTCAATATATATAATCAAAACTTTAAGTCAAAAAACTGTCTGCATGACATGTCATTTTCAAATGGCTGCTATTCTATCAATTCCTATCCAAATCACTTGATTCATGGACCTATAGAAAGCCAAGAGTAAGTACCTGCTTTCATACACTCATAGTTTAGGGCTAGGGTTAGGGGCTATTGTGTTTAGTCATAACTAATGTAAAACATACAAACATGCAGACAGTTTTTTGAGCCACTGTATGACTAAGATGACCAAAGACCAGGACAGAGATGAGGGTGGTCTGGGGACAAGGCTGGGTCAGGCTCAACTGAGATGACACTTCATACCAGCACTGCAAAGCAGTGCTAACCATGCTAGACTAACTGGGGGTAGATATTTGGTGAGGCTGAGGCTGGCTGGGGTTGAGGCATGGTGATGACAGTATCCCCCCCTTAGGGGTTGAACCCATGAGACCCCTGCAAGAGCAGTTGGCTGAGTCTTAAAACTCAGCTGAATTTAAAAACTTGATACTTGTGACTTGCTAAGCCCTCTGCATCTTTCTTCTGCATTCTATCACATCATGTCTGACTCAAGGCTGACAATCATGACTGACAGCAATGAAGGCCAGATCCCTATCAACTGGACCCAGGTGTCAGATGACACCATCAAATATGACACCAATGATGAAGAGGAGACAATGAGGGCAAAGGTGAAGGAGAGAGAGAGATGAAAGGTGGTCAAGCAAGCCTGGCAAGAAGAGCAGGCATAGCTGGAGGCTGAGAGACAGGAGAGGGAGAGAATATGGCCAAGCAGGTGCAGCAGGAGGCTGAGGAAAAGAAGGTGCTGTAAGGAGAGAGATCTCCTTACTATGAGATTGGGTAATAATTTCTATTTTATTTGTTTTATTGTTTCTTTACTTACTGTTGT